AGATTTTTTTTTTGTTTATGTAACGAAATAAGTAAAGAGAATCTTGATATGGTTAGGTTATGATTGAATGTAGACGGATTTGTGGGGTTTATACGTTTCCGTACAGATTCCGCATTTAACGCCGATACTACTCGCTTCGTAACTCTACTTTAATTGTTCTGTTTACGATACATTGAATGTAGACATGTTCTGTTTATTATTCTTACTTAAGCAAATACAGACATAAATTTTATGGGTCCAGCATCTAGACTTAGCCCAGCCCACCTTTTTTTTTTTKTWTTTTCTGGTAAAATCAACTTTTTTTAGGAAAAAGTCAAATCGTAAAGATTGGACAAGCGAGTCAAACCAATCCTACTATAAAGGCTTTGGGTCTTGTTTTGTTTTTTTATTAGTGGAGGAATTGGGTTTGGGATATTTGATTTTGGGTTTGGGTCAGTGCAGCTAGCAATTCTTTTTTTTTTTAATACTATATTACAATTTGTCTTCGCAGAATTATCGAGATTTTATTAGTGTTGTGCGTTTTTGGATTTCCATATAAACTTTTCACAAAAAGCGAAACAAAAATCCATATGAACGGAGACATAAATGAGGAGGAGGGTCTACAAACATTCTTTGTTATTGAGATATGGCTATGAAGAGATAGAAGCTTTGAAGATCTCTACTTAATAGATAGGTTTTGAGACACTTTATACAAGAATATTGGCTCATCCATATCCACTATGGCCACAAATAATCAGTGCTCGTATAACAGCTAAGTTGTCACGAATGGTCAATCATTTAGTTATAGCTATATAGTTACTACGAGCAATTGGCTAATTTAGTGGCCATATAACCACCATCTATCTAGGTATAGTCGTAGGTTGTGGCCACCCAGGTACTGATAAACCACTATACTTCTAGAGTTTTCTCCAAAATCTATCAAGGATTCCATTTTTAAATATTTCAATTTCTCATTTTTTGGGATGAATTTGATACTCCACACTGGTTCAAGAACTACTTGTGCAAGTTCACTTGATTTTATAGTGCTTGGGCATAAGAGAGAGGAATTTATTATTTCCCAAACAATATATAGCAAAAGAATCTGTAATATTATAAGGTGATGCAATATAACTTGTTAAAAGGATACATGAACCCATATCACAATTTTGTGCACACATATTTCTATATAGCTACATGCAATGCATAGTTGGAGCGTGGTCGGGTAAGTACTAAGTGGAACCACTTTAACCACTTAGATGTTGGAGGAAAGTTACTCACGCTTTGACATCATTCTGTTGGGAGAAAGTTAGTCACGCTTTGACATCATTCTTAAGTCAGCTACCATACAATCTTTCTTGGCCTTTTAACCAAACATATAATAAACACACCATTATATATCATCACCAATTACATGTTTAATTTAAAAGTGAAATATTCGTGATATTCCTTTATATGTGTGTATTGTTACTATTGTATGATATAGATTACGTGTGGAAGACAATCCGACGGCAAGCTACTCATGAGGCCGACCACTTTTGAAGACAAGGTTAAAAGTGGTTGTCCTTTTTGGTGAACCTATTAACCCAAATATATTCCCCATTGGTACTATTTCTTCACCATGCCTCATCGCATGTTATGCATCTATGCTTTATGCCTAACTAGAGGTAATGTTTCAATATGTAAAAAGTAAATATTATGATGCAAGTTTCATAAATGATGGTTTTGTATATACTAAATCTTAACATGCAACATTGAATTTCAATTCTCTTGCAAAATTAGAATTCAGTCAGTCTACATGCTATATGTTTAGTTCTGTTGTTGTTTCTTATGTTCTATGGCTTCTAAACTCTAAGGCGTTACACTTGGCTCACCTCACTAGAACCTAACATATTTCGTTTT